ATATATATATATATGCTAGAAATAATAGGTGCTGCTAGTCCTAAAGAACTCCAGAAACAGACAACAAAGACTATCAATCAAGAAAGATCAATGGAGATAAACAGCAGATAGCAACAATTGCTGCAGGCTTACAGAGTTAGTGTTAACTACAGTGATCAGCAGCAAACGTGAGTGGAACCAATGGAAGCTGCTCAGAGTGCTCTGGATACCTGCATAGGATTAGCTTCAACTATACTGATGGGGCAGCTGAGGTCTCAGAGCTATAACCCTAAGGAACAATAGTTATAGGGATCTGGGGCCTCAGAGGGCTGAGGACCATTGGTATCAACACTCCAAGCTACTGGCAGAGCTGTACTTTTTCAATTTGTGGTTTCTACTCAAATCGAGGCAAAACCCTTTACTGGCTTGCAGTAAGTTTAGTATGACCCTCTTTTATAACCTCCAAGATCTAATTCTTTTTGTAATCTAGGAGAAAGAAAAGAAGCCATGGAGATGGTGTTACACTCAGCTAATGTCACACTTCTCTTAACTTCCCCAGGAATTGGAATGTTCTGTCTGACATAAAGCAGCAATAGATGTTAATGGGTGATAAACAGATATATACGATGGTGAGTAGGTTAGTGCAGTATAAGAAATGCTGACCAGAAAACAAAACACATATGTGTTATTTAGGCTCAGAGTATCAAAAGCATTTATTCTCTAGACTAAACTATAAAATCAACAGATTTTCCTTTCTGCCCTTCAGAGATTTACTATAGGAATTCATCTTCTATTCTAAACAACTAGAAAAGAGGAAAGACTATAAGATACAATGGATTTCAAAAGAGTAAAGAAAGGAAAGAAATAAGATATGTCCTGTGACTAGTACAGCATACGCCGTGGGCAGTTTTTGGATGCAGTGCTAGATGGTCTAACTCCAACAGAATGCAGAGGTGACACTGAATCGAGGAGACAGAGATCAGCGTTTGAGAAAGCCAAGACCACTAGAATTTGGGAAGCAAAGCACTGTAGAGGAGGGTGCCACACTGAGGTGCCTTGGGGTGTCTGACTCATTACTCATTGGTACTCATGCATAAGGAAACTCTTAGTTGATGAGGAAAGGACAACTTGAAGACAGTGTTCAAAGAATACCTAGGCTTCCATTAAACTGGAAATCATTAAAATAATCACACACCGAAGTGGAGGGATACTGTAATACATGAAGTAGAGCCTTCAGAATGGTAAAATCTTAGTACTTGACTATCTCTAAGTCCGTCGCAGGATAAACTCTGCCTTGGAGGAATCATAACTGAGTAGATCGAAGAAGCTCAAAGATTTCCGAGCCAGGGAAATAAAGAAAATCATATTAACTTATATTATAATAAAGTTGACGAACATAAGTGATAAAGAGAAAACCTTGCATCAGGGAAAAAGAGGAATCACATACAAAGAACAATGATAATAATTACAGCAGACTCATCAGAAACTGCAAGACAGTGCAGCGGCATCTTTACAGTACTGCAAGAAATGGTTAACTAACAGTTTTATATGTGGTAAAATATACATTTCAAAAACTAAGGTAAAATAGACTTTTAGATAAACAAAATATTAGAGAACTTATTGCTAGCTGATCTGCACTACCAAGAATGTTAGAGGGAATTCATCAAACAAAAGGAAAGTGAGACAGATGAAAATAGTGATCTACAGAAAAGAACGAAGAACACTGAATGTGGTAAATATGTGGATAATTTTTCTTATTTCTTAATCCTTTTCAAAGGTAATTGACTAAAATTAATCAAAAATAATGCTACTGCATTATAAGGTTTGTAATATATAAAACTGAAATGCATGATACAGATAGCAATTTACCATAGAGTAAAAGGCAAAAAAAAAAAAGAAATATATTTATTTGGATTTTAAAATGACATGATATTATTTGAATTTAGGTTGTCATAAATTAAAGATCCCTATTTTAAGTCCTAGAGCAACAGCTCTCAGTTTTTTTTTTTTTTTTTTTTTTTTTCGGA